TTTAAAAGAAAGTCTTTTAGGATTTTAGAGTGGGGGAGAGGGTGGGATTGGGGGAGGGGCATATGTAGTTGTATCTACCTTGAAAGGCTGTCCTGAGGACTGAAGGAACAACAGAGTGTGTGTGTGTGTGTGTGTGTGTGTGTGTGTGTGTGTGTGTGTGTGTGTGTGTGTGTGTGTGTGATATCAAAAGAGGGCCTGACACATAGTTATTACATTTTGGCTATTCTTGATCTTTCCAAAAGTGACCAAAGTATAGACCACCTCAATGATGGTTAGTCATGATGTTAAAATCACTACTGGATAAGTGTAGTACTGTGGGTACTAGAAAGCTCTCCATTAGAATTTTTTCAAAATTCTGCATGGCTGTTCTCCTGAGGAGAGAGAAGTTTAGGGGGGAAAATCCCAGAGGTCTGCCCTAAAGAATAAGTAAGTTTTGGGATTTTTTTGCGAGTGTGTAATATCTTTATTCCTAATCACCCCCAACTGGAAATGACCCAGTTGTCTTTCATCTATGTAAAACAAACAAACAAAATATGGCAGAATAAGTTAAAATAAAAGTAAAGAATATTATTCAGCAATAAAAAAGAAACAAACTATTGATATACTTACCAACAATGGTGAAACTCAAATATACTATGCTGTGTGAAAAGCAAGCTCAAAAGATTACATTCTGTATGATTCCATTTAAATGAAATTCTGGAAAATTATCAGGGGTTACAAGTAGCTAGTGCATGACCCCAAAGGGGCAGTATGAAGAAATTTGAGGTAGGAGAATGATAGAACTGCTTTGTGGCTTGGTTGTAATGGTGACTTAACACTCCTGGAGAAACTCAATTTCATAAAGAAATGAAACATACAGTCAATTATGAGACAAGGAACTGTTTAAAGAATAGACAATAAAAACTAAAGGAGTTCCAAAAGAGAAAATAAAGAATAGAAAAACATGAAAACCATAATGTAAGGGCTGGAAGTATGACTCAAACAGTAGAACGCTGGATGAGCAAGCAAGCTAAATGAGAGAGAGGTCTTAAGTTCAAACCCTGGTACCACAGAAAGAAAGAAAGAAAGAAAGAAAGAAAGAAAGAAAGAAAGAAAGAAAGAAAGAAAGAAAGAAAGAAAGAAAGAAAGAGAGAGAGAGAGAGAGAGAGAGAGAGAGAGAGGGAGGGAGGGAGGGAGGGAGGGAGGGAGGAAGGAAGGAAGGAAGGAAGGAAGGAAGGAAGAAGAAGAAAGAAAGAAAGAAAGAAGAAAGAAAGAAAGAAGAAAGAAAGAAAGAAAGAAAGAAAGAAAGAAAGAAAGAAAGAAAGAAAGAAAGAAAGAAAGAAAGAAAGAAAGAAAGGAAGGAAGGAAGGAAGGAAGGAAGAAAGTAAGAAAGTAAGAAAGGAAGGAAGGAAGGAAGAAAGGAAGAAAGAAAGAAAGGAAGGAAGGAAGGAAGGAAGAAAGGAAGGAAGGAAGAAAGAAAGAAAGAAAGGAAGGAAGGAAGAAAGGAAGGAAAGAAGGAAAGAAAGAAAAGTATGACCTAAGATATTTTTAATGCTAAAAGCTTTCAATTTAACTGTAGGAAAATTCACATTTTTTGGTATGCAGTTCCATATATTTTGGCAAATATAAGTAAATTATTTTATTCCAAATAACATACGCTAGTGCAGCAAAATGTGTACTCAAATAATTTGAGTTAAATACAACAGGGGTAAATTCCATCATAATAGCCAGGAGTTCTAGAAGCAACCAAGGGTTCCAGCTATAATAGTATATGAGACTCCTTACATATCATGTGAGAGATTGTGTGTGTATGTGTGTGTGTATCTGTGTCTGTGATTGTGTGTATGCATATGCTCACATACCAAAACTGGACTTGAACTTAGGGACTGGGAGTTGTCCCTTGGCTTTCTGGCTCAAGGCTAGCACCCTATCATTTGAGCCACACCACTACTTCTTTACTACTACAGTTACTATAGTTCTTCCTCTTTAATGTTTTCCCCTTCAGTTATTTTTTAAATTGCTGGCAAAATCTCATCAGTAGCTTGCTCTTAAGAACATTCTCTATTTGAAGAGTGGAGTTTTTGCTACAAGTTTGTAATTTGTCCCATGCTTGGAAAATTTTTGTATACAATGAACATCGGTCCTTTTAGATGAGACCTCCCCTCCCTAAGTCTCAGAGCAATTTCTTCTGCCTTAATCAGATAGTGCAGTGAGTTGCCCATTCAATCATTGGAAAATTGATCAGGCTGGTGTATAAACTCCATCTCTCTCCTGGTGCAGCAAATGTTTCTCAAATAATAAAATTTGTTTCTGTGTATAGTCTGTCATAGGATTTATAGACCCATTTAGAAACCAAAGGCTTTGCATATTGTGTCCCTGGAATAATTAAACATTAACAACGATAATAAATCCAGAAACAGCAAGAAAATGGGAGGGGAGTGACATTTCAGATCAGCCTTCTACTGTTCGTCCATTGAAGCACACAGTTATTGAAAAACTTTAATGAGCTCCTGGTCTGGGGAAAAAATTTAACTGTTGTATGTGCAGCAGTCAGTTGAAAATACTTCAGAAAGCTCAGTCTAATTTTCTATTTAGAACCCAAAGAAGTTTCCAACAAACAAAGCCTCTTTTATGGCACTCAACAATTTCATTTATTATCTGCCGACTCACACTGCAAAGTGAGCTCTGTAAAAATAAAGACTTTGTTTTGCTGAGTTCTGTGCTTGGAAGTGGGGCTGGTGTGGTAAACATGCCTGATGAATACTTGCTGAATAAATTATTGAATGAATCTATTGAATGATAAATAGGTAGCATTTTCCGGATAGAACAGAAAACAAGTGGCTGTGTTTCGTACATTTCTATCAGGTGCATCCATGTCCTATGTGATGTCAAGAACCATACCTTCCTTAGGTGAGTCCTTCAGAAACCTGAAAGCCATAGAAAAAAATTGCCAAAAAGCTCAGTAGTACCAGGCATGATGGCTCAAGCCTGTAATCCTAGCTACTTCAGTGTCAGAGATTGAGGTGTTGAAGTTCAAGGCCAGCCCAGGAATAAGTTCTTGAGACTCCATTGTACTTAACTGTCTGATAAGGTAGTGTGTGCCTGTCATCTTCATTATGTGGGAAACACAAAGGCAGGATGAAATGTCACATAACTGTCATCCCCAGCAACACAGAGAGGCATAACTAAGAGCCCAGGCCAGCCCAGGCATAAAATGAGACCATACCTGGAAAATAACCAACACTAAAGGGGGCTAGAGATGTTCCTCAAGTAGTAGAGAACCTGCTGCTGAACAAGTGGGAAGCTCTGAGAAGAAGAAAAGGAGGAGGAGTAAAAGGAGGAAGAGAAAGAAAGCTCAATATTCAACTAGGAGGGGGCTGTTAAAGATTCTCACACAGGAGCTGGGCACTGGCAGCAGACACCTATAATCCTAGCTACGCAGGAGGCTGAGATCTAAGAATCATGGTTCAAAGTCAGCCAGGGAGGGAAAACGCATGAGAGCCTTATCTCCAATTAACCATCAAAAAGCTGAAAGTGGAGCTGTGGTTGAAGTGGTAGAGTACCAACCTTGAGTGGGGACAGTGCCTGGGCTCTGAGTTTTAGCCCTGATACCAGAACCAAAAAAACGGGGGGGTGGGGGGGGAGAATTCTCACACCGGAAGTAGCCTGGCTTCCTGACTTCTACACAATAGGGGGGCGGTTTTTAGTTTTCACTCAATCAAGAAGCAAAAGCCTCTTAAGATCAAGCCTGTCTCCTCCCACTAAAAAGTGACATGCCACTGGAAAAAGGAGCAAAGAAGCAGCTTCATTTTAGTTATATTTGTATGATCTTTAAGTAGTTGTACAAAGGGGTTACCCTTCAACAAATCAGCTTACAAGTGCAATGCTTCTTGACTGATGTCATCCCTCTCATTGTTTTCCCCTATATCTCCCAACTAAATTCCTTCCCTCAAATTTTCTAGTTTCATATGATATACATTGAATATTATGACTGTATTCTCCCCCCCTTTCTCTCTGTATTCCTCTAACCCCCTTCCCTTGACCCCATCTACCACCTTTTCAAGTATCAGTTTCCTTCTATTCATTTTATTGGACTGTGAACTTAGTTTTCAAGAATTACATCATTTGAATTCTTCCCTGCAAATACCATACCTCAGTTAATAAGTTTGTGAGCACTTGAATACACTCCCTATGTATTCACTTGTACATTTATAAATTCGTTCTACTTTCCACATATGAGAGAGAACATGCATCCTTTGTCTCTCTGGGCCTGACTTAATTCACTTAATATTTTTCAGGTCCATCCATTTCTTTACAAATGATGTAATATCATTCTTCCTAATGGATAAAATTCCATTGTCTATATGTACCACACTTTCTTGATTTATTTGTCAATTGAGGGGAATGTGGGCTATTTCTCTACATTAGCTATCATAAATAATACAGCAATGAACATGGTTGTATGTGTGCCTCACTATATCCTACTCTAATCTTTTGGATAAATGCCCTGGAGTGAAATTTCTAGATCATAAAGTAGTTCTATGTTTAGTTTTTTTGATGAATCTTCAAACTGCTTTCCAGAATGGTTGACAAAGTTTACATTCCCACCAACAGTGGGAATTAGGGTTCTTCCCACATCCATGCTAGAGCCTGTTATTGTTTATATTCTTGATGGCCATTCTAAATATAGTGAGGTATAATCTCAGTGTTGTTTTGAGTTACATTTCCTTTATGGTCAGAGATGTTGATCATTCCTCATGTATCTATTGACCATTTTTACTCTTCTTCTGAGAAGTCCCTAATTAGCTAGTTTCCTGATTTATTAATTAGGTTGTTGATTCTCTAAACTCTTTGTAGATTCTGGAAATTAAATCTTAAATTCTTCAGCTGCCTTCACAATAGCATTAGCAGATTTACAATTCACTGTGTAAAAGTTCTCCATCTGTTTAAATCACCCAGAGTTAGCAGTCAATTCAAGAATAAAGTTGGGACCAGCTTTTATTTCAACATTAAATACAAAGTTCTCAGATCTACTGTGGTCATCATGGTCTCTGGTTTTCAGTCCAGGTTATTAGAAGTTTGTCCATTTCTGATACAGGCTCTTCACAAATCCATCACCTCATTGCTTTCAGTGGAACAGGTTCTTCCACATTGCTGACACTTTGCTTTTGTTCTTCAAGATCTTCCATGGGGTGGAATGGGATGATTCTGAATGGTAAGCAATAGCAACCACTGACATTTCACCTTTGTAGTTGTTTGTCACTTTGAATTTGGTTCTGGGTCAAATACTTGATATGGTCTCTTACAAGCAATATTAGACATGGATTGTGTGTGCAAAATCCTATCTATCCATCCATCCATCCATCTATCTATCTATCTATCTATCTATCTATCTATCTATCTATCTATCTATCTTTGATGCCTAGCCTTAAACTCAGGGCCTGGCTTTTGTGCTTATGGCTACTGCTCTAACACTTGAGCCACAGCTTCACTTCCAGCTTTTTGGTAATTTATTGGAGATAAGAATATTAACATTATGCACACCTTTGGTCCTCAGCTCCACCCATACCTGAGCTTCTCCTTGCCCTGGAATTCCACCCTACAGCTGGCCATTCCTTCGCTCCACCCACCTGAGTACCCACCTACCTCACTTCCTGCCCCACAGACCTTCCAGCTACCTGGATAAGGACGGGTGCTATGTGCTTCCTCTCCTGAGAAATATGACCCCTCTAATAAACCTTATAATAATTTTTCTCGTTTGCCTCAGGGTGGTCCCCTGGGATGGATGTGAAGGATCCTTTCAAGGAGTCTCGAAGATTCCTGCCTGGGCTGGCTTTAAATCATGATCCTCACATCCCAGCCCCCTGAGTTGCTAGGATTAGAGGCATGAGCCACTTGTGCCTGGTGCAAAATCCATTTTTGATAACTAAAACAACATGAGATGAAACTAAGCACAAGGGAAAAGAGTACAAGCTGGCAATGTGATAAATATGATGTTGACCAATGCCATAAACACGGTCTATTGTTGACCAAAACATTATTATGCAATGCATGTGTATAAGAACTATCTGAGAGGAATTTGAGGAGGACAGCCACAGCCAAATACCAATAATGATGAAATCACATTTAGTATCAAAGACCAAAAAAAATGCTAGATGGAGTTGGGTTACAGATAGGAGCTGCTGTCTGCCATTTATCTGCACATGAAATGGAGAGAAATTGTCCTGAATGTCCCAGGGAAATACAGTGCCCAACCCCTTGATTGGGTCGGGTATTCCCAAGGGGGAATTGATGCAAACATGAATGTTTTCTCTTTCCATACATGTGCACACAAACAGAGAGAGAGAGAGAGAGAGAGAGAGCATTCCGAGGAGTTTAAGTCTCTACTAAATGAGGATCGCACAGTAGGGTGGCCTGTCACACAGCATGCTGTAAGAACCTTTGGCTCCTTCTACCTGTGGACAGGATGCCTCACCTCACATTCCAGCAGCCTTTGCTCATCACCTGACCTCCATTTTTCCACTTCCTCTCTGGATCATCTTATTTCCTCATATGAATCAGCTTCATCCTTACATTCTTTCATACTTGGACTCCTGGTCTCAGAATCTTTCCTCTTCCTCCTCCTCCTCCTTCCTGTTCGCTTCCTCCTTCAAGAACAATATAAATCAGACAAAATCATATAACCTAAAGCAAAGGTTCTCCAAGTGCGGCATGAACATCACCTGGGAATATGTCCCAGTGCTTGTGTGTCAGCAAGCCCCCAGTGGAAACTGTCTCTGGCTATCACACTTTGAGAACCACTGTGGAAATCTAGCATCACTGAACCTATGATCAAATGGGTATCTAAAAAAACAAACAAACAAACAAAAATAAAACCAGGCTTTTCTTTTCCCTGCATGACTACTCCCTGATATTTCCCAAGACATCTAAATTATCCACCAGTTAACTCGATGAATTTGTCCTCATCGGTAATAAAATTTCACTTCCTTCAAGAAAATGTTTTGAGATTACTTTATTTCTTCTTTAGCCACTAGAAGAAATAATCAATTTACTAAGTGCCTTTGAAGAAATGCTTGTTATCCTGGAGAAATGTCTTTGTTGCTACTCCTGAACTCTCCTGACCTTGTCCCTAACTGTGTCTCACACTAAAGTGGAACTGGGGTGGTGTGGGGTGTTGGGTTAAGAAGCCTTGGTTGTCCTAAATCAGGACAGAGAAGCAGAACAGAATCTTGGCTCTGAAAGGAAAGTGGGATGTGACATGAATCCTGCCACCAGCAACTCAGCAACTAACCTAGCCATAAAAGGGCACTAGTGGTTCAATCAAACCTGTAATCCTGCCTACTCACAAGGCTGAAATCTGAGGATTGTAATTTGAAGCTAGCCTGGGGCAGAAAAGTCCAAGAAACTTTTATTCCTAATTGACCACCAAAAAGCCAGCAATGGAAGCATGGCTCAAGTAATCGAGCACCAAAGTGAGCTGGGTGCCAGCAGCTCATGCTTGTATTCCTAGCTACTTAGGAGGGTAAGAGCTGAGGATCAAAGTTTGAAGCCAACCTAGTCAGGAAAGTCTGTGACATTCTTATCTCCAATTAACCACCAAAAAGCCAAAAGTAGGTCTGTGGCTCAAGTGGTAAAAAGCTAGCTCTGAGCAAGAAAGCTCAGGGATGAACCTAGTCCCTGAGTTCAAGCCCTAGGACTGGCAAAAAAAAAAGAGAAAGAGAGCAGGAGAGAGAGAGAGAGAGAGAGAGAGAGAGAGAGAGAGAGAGAGAGAGAGGAGAGAGAGGGAGGGAGGGGAAAAAGAAAGGAAGGAAGGAAGGAAGGAAGGAAAGAAGGAAGGAAGGAAGGAAGGAAGGAAGGAAGGAAGGAAGGAAGGAAGGAAGGAAGGAAGGAAGGAAGGAAGGAAGGAAGGAAGGAAGGAAGGAAGGTGTAAGCCACATGATAGTACAAGGCCCTGAGTTTAAGCCCTCGTACTGGCACACAATTTTTTTAAAGGGAGGCCCTGCTTCCCTTCCCTCCCCATTCCACTATCTCTTCCTACTGAGCCAAAGCCAGAAAGAAACAAGAAGGCTCACTCCTCAGGGCCATACCTGCCCCCAGCTCCAGAGACCATATCCCATCTTCTTAAAAGTAAGACTCTGAAAAAAAAAAAAAAAAAGTAAGACTCTGCTCTGTAGCTGGGAAATTCATTACTGAAATCCTCATTCTAATGGTGGAGCAAAAAATCAGAGGAGAATCAAATATCAACATGGCAAGTCTCGTTCCAGAATGCACTATCATTCCACAGCCATTGAAACACCCAATACTACCTGCTATCCCAGCTGGGGTCCTTGCCCACAGCCCATGCCAGGAGCCAGTGGAGATGTACATGGAAACACATGGTGGCTTGTCCTTCCTGAGTCTGCAACCCATATCTCCTCCCCCAGGAATGGTTGAGAAGGCTCTAACAAGGGCTTCTCTGTGGTACCTGAGGCATGAGCTCGTGCATCACTGGGCCCTCTCCCTGGGAGAGCAGACCATCAACATTCAACCTGTCCCAGACCCAGAACAGCTTCACCCTGACACTTCAAATGCCAACAGTCCTGCAGTCAGTATTCAAATATCTCTGCTCACTGCTTTCTGCCTGTCATGGTGTAGTCCCCAGGAGCCTAAAATTTGAGAAGTGAAACATGCCCTTCCCTTTCATGAGTGGGGGGAAGAAACCTAGAGGCCTTTTTATTGAGCCTGTTGTTTATCTACTGGTCACAAGAAGGCCCTCACCATGATCAGAGTCCCAGCCACCTTCCTTATCTGGACTCTGATTGCTTGCAGCAGTGGTGGCCATGGTGGGAGTGAAGAATGGCCGGTGCACAGGGCCTGCAGCAGTGACGGCTTGGAGGTTCTCTACCAGAGCTGCGGTAAGGTCTTTCACAATGTCACCTGTGTTTATGGGGCAATTAAGGCCTACAGCTATGGGCTACCTTAGTGCTAACTTGGATGAGAGAGGGAATGGGAACCAACACCTCAACCCCGTTTCTACCTGCAGGGGACTTGGAGGACTTTTGGAGTCCTTGAGAGAGGAAGGAGGGGGGTGGATGAGGAAGAACAATGGAGAGGGTAAGAAAGAGAAAGTAAGATTCTAAGCCTGTGCTGGTGGCTCACGCCTGTAATCCTAACTACTCAGGAGGCTGAGATCTGAGGATCACTGCTCAAAGCCAGCCAGGGCAGGAAAGTCTGTGAGACTCTTATCAGAAAACCAGAAATGTTGCTGTGGCTCACAGTGATAGAGCATCAACTTTGAGCACAAAAGCTCAAGGACAGTTTGCCCAGGCCCTGAGTTCAAGCCCCACAACTGACTAAAACAAGAAGACAAAAAAAAAAGTAGGTAAATATGGAGCCAAGAGAGCCAGGAAATGGTGGCTTGGATCTATAATCTAAGATACTCAGGAGACTGAGATCAAGAGGATCATGATTTGAAGCCCAGGAAGAAAAGTCCAAGAGACTCTAGGTCCATGCACGTGTAATCCTAGCAAGCATGGGAAGCCTAAAGCGGGCAGATCACAGACCAGGTGCATTGTTGCTGGGGAATCAAGACTTTATCTCAAAAAGAACCTGTGATAAAGGAGGAGGGAGGAATGGAGGTGTGGCTCATGTGGTAAAGTGCCAGCCTAGCAAGCAGAAGGCACTTAGTTCAAACCCCAGTACTGCCTAAAACAATGATCAAGGAGTATTCCAAATCATAAAAAGAATTAGGGAACCGCCATCTCCACCAAGCTTTTCACCCCAGCTGTGCCCCTGAGCTAGCTCTGCAGTGCATTTAGCTGACCTATCAAGTGAAAAAGTCACTAGCCCAATGGTTCCTGTGCTCTGTGGTGGCCATGATCTGTCATTCGCTGCAAGCACCTGGGAAGCAGCCATGGTCCCTCAGGGCTTTCTTTAGTGTAAAAACAACAAAAGGGAGGCTGTGGTTTGAAAAGGCAGGAGTTGGAAACTCAATTGCCAGTGTATCCATGTTAGGAATAGGATCTTATGAAAGGTGTGGAGTTGAGAGAGTTCCACCTTCATGAATGGGTTAGTGCCACTATGCAAAATCCAGAAGTTGCTCACCCTTCACTCCTGCTGTTATAACACAGCACAAAGGCTCCCATCATATTTCAGCTCCTAAATCTCAGACTTCTCACCCTTCCAGAATGTTGAGCTGATACATTCTGTTCTTTTTTTGGGGGGGGGTCGGTTGTGGGGCCTGAACTCTGGGCCTGGGCACTGTCCCTCAGCTCTTCAGCTCAAGGCTAGCACTCTACTACTTGAGCCACAGCACCACTTCCGGCTTCTTTCTTTTTGCTTATATGGTGCTGAGGAATCGAACCCAGGGCTTCAGGCATGCAAGGCAAGCGCTCTACCACTGAGCCACTTTCCCAGCCCCAACATTCTGTTCTTTATAACCCACCCAGTCTGAGGTATTTTGTGATTGCACAGAATGGACTAAGACAGTAAGTGGGAGATAGGGTAGTCACTCTAATGGATCAGAGCAACCTGCCTGCAGGGAAATTTCAATCCAATGAGTAGAACATCTGACCTAACCCACTGGGTACATCTTAATCTGCTAAGACTGCTGAAAAAAGTACACTCTTAGTGGCTGAAAAAAAAACAGAACTTCATCTTCTCCCATATATGGAGGCTAAAGTCTAAGATCATATAGTCAGCAGGACTAGTTTCTCCTGAAGCCTCTTCTCCTTGGCTAGCAGATGGCAATTCCCCCCTGTGTTTTCTCAGGAGAGCAAGGGAGGCTGCGGGGGGTGGAGGGGAAGAGGGAGAAAGGGGAATCTGTGTGTGTTTGTCTCTGTATGCATATGTCTGTATGTGTCTGTGTCCTGGTCTCTTCTTCTTCCAAAGACACCAGGCACATTGGGTTAGGATCTTCTGATGACTTTGTTTTACATTAATCATGGGCTGGGGATGTAGCTCAGAGTACTTGTCAACCATGTATGAGGCCTTGAGTTCAATTCCCAGCACAGAAAAAGAAAGGTAGTTAGGTCTGGGTGTGCTGACGCATGAAAGTTATCCTAGCACTCAAGAGGCTGAACCAGGCTGGAAGATGGCAAGTTTAAAGCTAGTCTGTTCTACTTAACAAGTTTGAAGACAGCCTGGCTAGAGTGAGATCCTGTCTCAATACATCAGTAACTAAATTACATTTCTGAAATGGGCCTGATCACCTTTTTAAAGACCTCATCTCCAAATGCGGCTAGTGTAAAGTATTTACAACTTTAACTCATGAATTGGGAACACAATATAAAAGAGTTCCTGAGTAGGGAGAAAACAGCCCAGCTACGGGATTACCCCTGCAATGAAGGTTAGGACTGGCTCCTGGAAAGGCACAGAATTGCAAAACTCTGCCCATCTTGAGGGAAACAGAGCAAGAAAGTGCCATTTGGGCCAAAGGAGGTGGTGAGAAGAGATGCTGTTGAAGAACAAAGTTGACCCCATCTAATGCTAGGGAGTAGTGAAGATGCAGCTCTCATGCAAACAGCTGGTCCTGATTTCTGTCACCCAAGGAGCTGGCCCTGGAACATCAGGATAATTGGGCTGCTTACCAGGACCATTTGACAGACTTGTTTTACTCCTTCCAAAAGAAGGAACGTAAGCAAGAATGAGTGGCCAGATGGGGAAAGTGCTTATGTCATCATTCTTGCTTTTCCCAGGGGGGTACTGCTGTGTAGGATGATAGGGGGGGTCTAGGAAGCATGGCAAGACCAAGATTATCTTTCCAGTTCATCACATGTGAAAGGTGTCTGTGGTCAACTGGCCTCAGATTCCAGCCAAGCCCAGCATGTCCTCAACTCACCACCAGAGGAGGCAAGAAGACTAAGGACATCCAAGAAAGAGCAAGGACCTATCATATCACATACCCATCCGGGGATAGTACATCCTTCTGGAGACAGGGCTTCTCCATGGAGTCCCTAAAACTCAGGGACAAGCCAGTTTCAAACACTGGAAACAACAGAACAGAGGAGACACAGCTTTCCTCTACATCTGTGAATGGGTTAGCATTGAAGAGTTAGCTAACATCTCTCAACCCCAGTTTCCACATCTGTAAAACAAGAGCAAAGCTTACAGAGCACTTAGCAAGGTACCTGCCACATACTAGAAAACCTGCAGCAATAGGAGGTGGCATCGTACCTATTTTAATCCTTCCTTCCTTCCTTCCTTCCTTCCTTCCTTCCTTCCTTCCTTCCTTCCTTCCTTCCTTCCTTCCTTCCTTCCCTCCTTCCCTTTTCCCTCCCCCCTTCTCTCTCTCTCTTTCTTTCTTTCTTCCTTTCTTTTTCTTCCTTCCCTCCTTCCCTTCTCCCTCCCTCCTTCCTTCCCCCCTTTCTCTTTCTGGTTCTTTCTTTGTTTCTTTCTTTGTTTTTTTTCTGCCAGTGCTTGAACTCAAGTCCTGGCAGCTTGGGCAGCTTGGGTGCTGTTCCTGAGCTTCTTTGCTCAAGGTTAATGCTCTACCACTTGAGCCACAGCTGCACATCTGGTTCTTTGGTGCTTAACTGGAGATGAGAGTCTCATGGACTTTGCTGTCTGAGCTGGCTTGCAAGCACTATCCTCAGATATCATCTTCCTGAGGAGCTAGGATTACAAGACTGAACCACAGTCTCCCAGCTATTTTAATCGTTCTTTAAGCCTGATGACTCTCTCCTGAACATATTCACACACCATCCTCATCCTCTTCTGACCGCTTTTGTTCCCTGGTACCTGACACCTGCCTCTGTGACAGCCACACGAAGTATTAGCTAACTTTTCTAAAACAGAATGGGTGGTAGAATTATGTCCCCAGAGGCACAGAGAGGCGAGGCATTCTGTATATAATTATGGAATTAAACTGATCATCAGCCTGTTTGGATCTGGACACCATGTTCCCCATGTCTGTGCTGTCTAGTGTTTTGTGTGCAGGCTGGATGGAATGGAGGAGAAAAGAAGAAGTGAGAATTTGACAAAGAGAACAACATTATGTAGACAAAGACTGAGAAAGGTCTGGTAGTACATGGGAGTGAAATTTGAGATTGGCAATGGGGGCAGAGATAAGAATGGGCTGTCTTTCTTTAGAAGGAGGGTGCCTTGTAGAAGAAGGAACATGGACAGCAGAGTAGAGGCCATCTGTGGCTGCAAACAGGCTTTATAGCCAGCAAGAGTGGAACTTCGAGCATCATTCCTCTGCCTTAAGATCAGGTGAATCTTGAACATACTTTAGTATCAGCAGAAAGGCAGGCTGACCTAGCAACTTCTGCAGAGTGGATTCCACTTCGTCTCCTGAAAGTCACTAAGCTCTTGGGGGCTGAATGGCTGCACACACTTACCAAGTGAAGATGGTCCCCCACTTTAGCTGCTGGGTTCCCAGGGAGGCAGCCCCACTGGGCCCTTCCCAAGGATTACATAGAATTTCTTGCTGCTGTATCTAGCCCAGAGTGTAGACACCCTCAGTGCATAACAGAGGAGCTTCTGGGATCCTGCTGTGTGCCCAGCTGTGAGAGACACATCTGGCAGAAATGGGCTGCTCAATTTTCCTTTTTTTTAATTTTTTTTT